GGGGGGGCGGGGGGGGACGAGGGAGGTGTGCTGAGTCACTGAGAGCCTGGGATCTCAACCATCACTGCACCACAACCCTTCTTTGCTCCTTCCATTGGCGTGCTGTTTTGTGGATCCAGGAAGGCTGTGCCCAGGCCTCCAGAGCAGGAGCCTCGCGACGATGTCTCATCTCTCAAAACCCGAGCGCCTCACTCCCAGACACCCCTCTTCCCAACCGCCTGGGATCTCAACCATCACTGCACCACAACCCTTCTTTGCTCCTTCCATTGGCGTGCTGTTTTGTGGATCCAGGAAGGCTGTGCCCAGGCCTCCAGAGCAGGAGCCTCGCGACGATGTCTCATCTCTCAAAACCCGAGCGCCTCACTCCCAGACACCCCTCTTCCCAACCCCCAAAGATACCCATCACCCTCCCCCACCCTCCTGCCAGGTACCTGGGAGCAGGTAGGACATGACAAACAGGGGCATCCTGGACTCCAGCGCCACCCTCTCCTCCTGCTCCTCCCTCGCCCGCTCGGCCAGCTCCTTGGCGAAGCAGCGCTCCAGCAGCGACTGCAGGGTGATGCTGATGGCCGGGGCGTGCGTTGCATTCATTGGCTGCGCGGCGGGACGGGGGCAAGGGGTTGAGGGGGCTCGGCCGTGGCGAACGCCATGCTTCCTTGCCGCCCGAACCCTATGACATCAACAACCCCCTGTGTGCCAACCAGTGAGGGTTGCCGGGGCAGCCCGCCCCTCCCTCCTTTCCACCCCTTTCCCGCCAGAGGGCTCACGGTGCGGCAGGTGGGGCAGCGGCTGGTGTGGTCCAGGCAGCGCGGCAGGCAGGCCTGGCAGAAGCTGTGCCCGCAGGGCGTGGTGACGGGGCGGTACAGGAGCTTGAGGCACAGCGGGCACTCCAGGTCCGACAGCAGGTCCTGGGGCAGGGGGGTGGAGTCGCCGCCCCGCATGTCGGCCACAGCGGCGGCCGCCGAGGCTAGCGAGGAGGCTGCCAAGGACACGGAGGACGCGGCGGAGGAGGGGCAAAGGGTGCCCTGCTCCCGTGCCGGGGCGGGGTGTGGGGGGGCGACATGCGCAGCCTCCTCATACCGCCTCACCAGCTCCAGAGCCTCAGCCTGCGCGGGGGTTGGGGGTGCAGCACGTCAGCCGCCGGGTGCAGCAGCGTCACGCTCGGCAGGCGAGCCCTTGCTGCTGCCGAGGAAGCCTTGCCCGGGCAGCTGCGTCTCAGGGATTGTGCACCCCGATCTCACAAACAACCCTCCCGCGGCGCAAGAAGCGCGAGCGCACCCTGAGCCTCTGGGCAGCGGCGCAGGTGGGTGCCAGCTTGAGGGCCGCCTCGGCGTCATGCACCGCACCCTCGGCGATCTCCGACGGGTCTGGCGCCAGGACCGAGTACTCGCTCTTCTGCTCAGCATGGGAATTTGTTTGGAGGGATGGGGTCTGTGGTGTGCGGCAGGGACAGCTGGGAATTGCAGGAGTTTGAATACACTCAAACCCACTGCTCGTTGACTCTGAGCAGCTCCTGGGCCCAGAATATGCTCCCCTCTCTCGCCCGGTCACAGCCAGCACCCACCGGGGCTTGCGTGAGGAGGAGGTGGGAGAAGCGGACTTGCTGCTCCGCCCTGGCACACAGCGCTGCAATTCTTTCGCCAGACGGGAGGTCGGCGCTGAGAGACTCACGCATGACCCGCCGGAACTGTGCAGGTGCGGATGGTGGGGGTGGGGCGTCGGGCAGCCAGAGTTCCACGGGCAGCAGGCCCCACACAGAATGCGTGCCAGCCACCCATGACGTCAACCCCCGGTGGCCGCCCCTTGAGCCTGCCGTACTGCGCGCACGCACATCTCGGAAAATGGTGGTGTGGTCCAGGCAGTCCTCGTCGTCGGTGGAGTCAATCGAGCCCGCCGTGGACCCCCCCACCCCGCTACCAGAGTGCAGGGTTCTCGATCGGTCCCTCCCCGAGGGAGGGCACGGGATGCGGAACCAAAAGGGTGAGGAGTTTGCATTCATCGTACTCCGAGGTGTGGAGAGGGAGCGCGTGGCCTGGGCGTGGAGTTAAGGGGCTTCCAGGGGTTGGGTCCCCGAATCCGTGCGAGGCCACGTCGCCGCGCGATCTCACCACTCGATGCGCCCAGCGTGGAGGAGAATTCAGCTCCAGAAGTGGGTAAGAGCGTGAGCTTGGGGGAACAGGTGGGTTGTCAACTCGAGATTGAAGGAGGTTAGCAATGAGTCGACGCGCCACCGTGAATGTTGCGAATCCGGGATCTTTGCGTGCCTTTTCTTGGATCCCCTCTTTGTCTGATTTGATGCAAGGAGCGCGCGCTGAAGTGCCAGCCACGCAATTGACAATCAATGTCTGATGTAGCACCTGTGCATGGATTGGAGAGAATCCCATTGGCCCTTCAAGAGTGACTCACTCCCCGGAACTATGTTTTCGTACAGGCCTACTCAAAGGATCCCACGTTTAAGACATCCCCAGTGCAGCCACAGAACCGGGAACCAAGGCGCACCGATGTCGCCATCAACAGCCTGCAGGAGATGTGCACCTTCTTTGGCGGTTCCCTTCCAATTGACATGACGCAAACGTCTTATCGCGGCACGCATCATTGCACGGGCTTTAGGGCCTTCTCCACATGATATTCGGATCTGAATGTGCATACAATCTCACACCGCTTCGATGAGCATCGTATGCACCGCACTTCATGGATCCCACCCGCGCCGGATCCCCTGGGCCCCGTGCGAGGGAACGCCCCATGCTGCAACGAAACAACGCACTGCACGGCAGAAATACCGATTCAGGTCCAGACTGGCTTCGTCGGCCCCTGTTCCCTCGGGAGACGAGGACCAGGAGGCAATTCAGTCGGCATACAACAAGGCGATCAATACGAGCAACCCTCCCGATGTCTTCATACAAGACATGCGAGACTTCGCGACGTCGGTGCGGGCCATGCATGGGTGGTGATGTGCAGAGATGCCTCGCGCAAGGGCCGTCTTCATGGATAATGGAAGAGAGACCAACAGCTTGTACCTGAGCCTGCTGCACAGGAGACTCAACAAGCAACAGTAGCTGTTAGGGAGCGTGCTTATGGGTTGACACAGTCATCCTTGACCCTCCCACCATCAAGCACAGGTGCTGAGGGGTGCGGACCCCAAGGATGCTGCCTTGCCTGTAGCGGCAGAGCAGTGGTTTGCTGAGTACGACCTGAATGGCTCTGGGAGGCTGAGTTCTGCGGAACTGGCTGCAGGCCTTCGTCGTTCCGGAGTGGAGATTAGCGATGCCCAAACGCTGGCATTCATGGAAGCTGCAGGGATATCAGCATCCCCGGAGGGGGACCTAGCAGTCAGAATAGAGGCCTTCCAGAACCTGCTCCAGTGCATGGCAAGGGCTGAATTTTATGGCCAGCGCGCTTTCAGCGCAAACACTCCGACGGCAGGGGTTCCTGCGCCGCAGCCACCCAAGGGTGAGGACCTGGAGATAATCCAGGTAAGCTTTGGTTTAGGGTGGGGTGGAGTTCCCATTCTGCAGGACGAATTCTTGGAGAAAGTTCTCTGACTCGCGACATCCATTAAGGTTTTGTCAGTCTGGTAGGGGTGTGTATCCGTGTTGGAGACCCTTTCATTTCATACTGAGTATTCCACATCCATACAGGAGAGGCTTGCAAAGCTGGGTGACGATGAACCTATTGTGTAAGGTGGTCAGATCCTAGAGAGGAGGTTATCATGGCAAACATTTCAACAGCGCTCCGAGAGAGACGCTCCACCTAAATGCGCGCCATTAACAGAAATGGCCTTCCTCCAAAGTCGTCATCGGAATTTGGGGGTAATTCCATAAGCTTCAATACATCCTGATCTCGATGACGCGGGGTAATTCCTCCTGACTGCGTGAGCTTGATAGAGGTGATGCCACGGTCGCCCAGTCCCGAGCGCTCCTCGGAGCGGTATCGCCAGAAACGATCCTACAGCCGAGAAAGGAGCCGTAGATCACCGTCGCCACGGCGCTCGCCACGGCATCGGCGTGAGAGCGAGCGGAGCAGGGAAGAGTACACTCGACGGTCCAGCCCTCTGCAGAGGAGTCCTCCTCGCCGGGACCGCTCAGACCGTGGGCGGGACTACCCTCCTTCCTCGAATGGAGCCCCACCTCGTGGATTCACGGCGCGGTGGGTGCCTGGGCTTTGCATGCATCTGCACAGGGCCAGGGGTAGGGGTTCGGGCCCGCAGGCCACTTACAAAGCCTGCTCTTGGGGGCAGTATGGACCCTTTGCACTGAGCGTGTTGACATCACCGGAACCCATTGTTCACAGCGCTGTTGCCATGCACACAATGCAGGGGAGACAGACGCCCACCAGTGGAGGATGTGAGTGACGACGACATTAAAGCTGAGAGCTACCAAGATCTGTGAGCTGCACTCCCTGGTGAAGGCATCCTGCTTTGGACATGTGATCTGTATACATGCCCCAGAAGACGGATGATGTTTGCCTTTTTTCTTGACCGGAGTCCCTGCCACTACTGCCGCTCTGGGCGGCACGCATTGAAAGCTTCTCCGGACCCACCCTGCCCCTGTCCCCCCAGGCGGCGGCTGAAGCGGATCAAGCTCAGGGAGCGTAATGTGGCCAGCATATGGCGAGTGACCCCGTCCCCGCCTCCCGAGGAGCGCGCGAGGCTGGAGAGGGAAATGGCAGAGGCGGCAGAGGCGCACCATGCCTTGCAGGCGCAGCAGCACCAAGCGCATTCACATCATGGTAGCAAAAAGTGAGTTCAAAGCAGATTGAGCATGAAGAGGGGCTGTTGCTTGGGGGCACAGCCATCGCTCTGGACTGTTGGTGGTGGTAAATTTGTTGCCGAGGAACTGCGACCCTCATCGCCCTAGGTTCCCCTGCGAGTTGCCTCATCCAAAGGATCAGCACTGGGACTGTGCAATGCTGTCAGGTCCCCCCAGTTCCTGATTACTCCACCCCTGGCGCTCAGGCAAGGAGCCGGTACGGCTGTCGAGCCCCCAGCCGAGGGTTTGGCTGTCCCGGAAACTGATGCAGGCACTCCTGCCCTGCCCGAGCTGGATCCCTTGGAGGCAGAGCTGAACCAGCGCGAGGCCTCGCTGTTCACGGTGAGGTCTGGCGGCGGGGATGACACGGGGCAGGATCTTTACACGTCTGACGAGGAGCCTCTGCGAATGCAGCCGTCCTCTCAAGGTGTCTGCATGCTACCGCCCGGCACATGGCTGATGCGGCAGCGGTCAATGGCCATCATCACGCTCATCCGGTCACTGCCCAATGCAACTTCGGTTCGTCAGGGTGCTCCAGCGCCTGCATCGCTCGTCCATTCTCACGATCCGGAACCCTCCCATGCAGTCCTGGCTGGAGACGCAGCGCGCTGCAGCCGCGGACGCGGCGGCCGCCGCCGCCGCGGCGGAAGAGGAGGATCGCCTGGTGGGGCCCGAGGCACCTGCGGGGGCCGGCGGGGTGAACGCCGACTACGGCCCCCACCTCCGACCCGGGGAGGGCACCGCTATGGCCGCCTTTGTGCAGTCCGGCCAGCGCATCCCCCGCCGTGGCGAGGTTGGCCTGACCAGCAGCGAGATCGACAACTTCGAGAGCGCGGGGTGAGATGGGATGGATGTTAGGGGGTGGGGCGAGAGGAGGGTGTTTGTGCAAGGGGCAAGGCATCAGCTGTCTGCAGCCGAGGAGGGCAGTGGGCTTGCAAAGCCCGGCAAACCCCCAGGCAGGATGCCTGTGCTGGTTCCCCGGCGAAGACTGGAGTTCCAGGCGCCTGTGCCGCCCGGAGCGACCCATGGTGCACTCTGCCGCGTCTACGCCCCCCCTCATCCCGCACACCGGCCTGTCATCGTCTCACCCCATCGCGCCCCAGCTCCCTCCCTTCCTGCCCCTGTCCCCCCCGTGCAGGTACGTAATGTCCGGGAACAGGCATGCGCGCATGAACGCGGTGCGCATCCGCAAGGAGAACCAGGTGTACACGGCGGAGGAGAAGGCGGCGCTGGCCATGTTCAACTACGAGGAGAACAAGCGCAAGGAGGCCAAGATCCTGGACGACATGAAGCGCCTGGTGCACAAGACGCTTGGGCCCGACGCCGGGCTGGACCCGGTGGAGGAGGAGGGCTGACAGGGGTCGGAGGGCTAGTATCGGGGCCGGGCGTGGCCCTCTGCGCCTGGCCATGCCAGCCTGCTGCCTGTGACCCTCACCCGCTGGAGGGGGGGGGCGGTGCTGCCGGCACACCCAAGGTGCAACAGGCATGGGGAGGGCGGCACGGTGGGGCGCTCCGCTTCCAGTAGCTCGAGGACTCTCGAGGGGCCTAACCCTGTCAAGGTGCAACACGACCTCCAGACTGTACAAACTAGAGCCATGTCAATGTCACTCCGTGGTGACTTGACCTCAGATCCGCAGATGGCTGGATGACCCAGCGCGGGAGCCTGAGCCGACGGGATTGTGCTGCGCATGAGGAACGGCCTGCTGCACTGAACGGGACGCGACCCAGATTGCACGCTTGACATATATCTATCGGCATGCAACTACCTCTTCACCACAAACAAATCAGACAGGACTCCCAGGAATGCACCGCATGAGCCAGCGAAAGGAGCTTTGCTGAGGTGTGTGCGCCCACATTCTGCCCGTCGGTCTACGCGGCATGAGGTCCACCGTCACATTACGGTCACCCTTATGCATTCGGGGGTGAGTCATCGGAACTCACACAAGCAGAGCTTCGGCGTGGAGGGTAGCTCCGGAGCGCAAAGCGCGCAGCAGGGGGTGCTCTCCATGATGATGACTCACGTGCTGAGTAGGAATGGGTTGACGTGGGGAATGCAGCCTGTCATCCCCTGGCCTAGGAGCTATATACCCGCGGGTCCAGAAAGCAAAACTCCATACGTTCGATTCCTTCCAGATTCAACCGTACACTATCCCTTCGTATTTGTCAATACAATCGGCAGCGAGCACCCCGGACCTTCACCCACTACCCGTCCCCGATCAATACTCAGGTGAGCCGCTCGGGAACCCTTGCCTCTGTCAGGCCTGGACCCGATTTCTCACCGGCATGCCATGGTTACGGGAATTTGGTGCATCAATGCATCGTGGGCTGCCTCTGAGCCCTCCCAGCTCCTCCTCACCCCATCCCGGAAGTTGACGTGCAGGCCGGCTCCCCCGCGATGAGTGCCAACGGCGAGTACCAGACCTCCTACGACCCTCCCAAGGACCTGCAGGCCCAGGCACATGTCAATAGCCTGGATGAGTACAAGCGCATGTACGACCAGTCCCTGAAGGACCCTGAGGTGGGTTGGGGTTAGAGTGAAGCTCCGTCGTCACGTGGTCCTCCGGGCAGCATCCCTTCAGAAAGATTTCGTCGGGCTGCCAATTCCACGCCTGCTGTGGGACGGGGGCGGTAAAATAAAAGGGCAGCAGCCCATCACCACAACTCGATCCATCTACTCACCCGTCCACTCTCTTCTAATTCGTGCCCCTCAGGCGTTCTGGGGCAAGATTGCCGAGGACTTCTACTGGAAGAAGAAGTGGGATGTGATCGAGAAGTGAGTTCACGGGGGAAATTGGGAGTTGGGTTCTGTGGCTCGAATGGTGCAAGGAGTCTGGGCGCATGCTCGTTGCCCTCTCTGCATGCCTCGGAGTCACGGTATCTAGCCGGCCTTTCTTGCGTCCTGCTTCCTCACATATCGTGCAGTCAACGTATCCCTGCTTCCTCCCTGTCGTCCTGCACTCTGTGTCCATTCCCCTGGACCTATCCCATTCCCCTTTTTCCATCACAAACAGACCTCCCACTTGACCCCCCACCCCACCCTTCCCCCCACCCCCTCCACCCCCTGATCTCCAGGCACAACATCGACACCAGCAAGGGCCCGGTCTCCATCGAGTGGTTCCTGGGCGCGCAGACCAACCTGGCCTACAATGCCGTGGACAGGCACGTCGAGGCGGGCATGGGCGACCGTGTCGCCTTCTTCTGGGAGGGAAACGATGTGGACCAGTCGCGCACCGTGACCTACAAGCAGCTGCAGGACCAGGTGTGCCAGGTGGCCAACTTCCTGCTGTCCAAGGGCGTGAAGAAGGGCTCCGACGTCACCATCTACCTGCCCATGATCCCGGAGCTGCCGGCCACCATGCTGGCCTGCGCACGCATCGGCGCGGTGCACTCGGTCGTCTTCGCCGGCTTCTCCGCGGAGTCGTTGGCGGGGCGCATCGAGGACAGCCGGCCCTCCGTGGTGGTGACCACCTCGGGCGTCAAGCGCGGCGCCAAGCCCATCGAGCTGAAGAAGATCGTGGACGAGGCGCTGGCCCTGCCGGGGACGGACTCGGTGACCACGGTGCTGGTGTACGACCACTCCATCGCGCTGCCGCGCAACAAGGTGGCCTTCACCGAGGGCCGTGATGTGTGGTGGCAGGACGTGGTGCCCGGGCAGCCCACCGAGGCGCCCATCGAGTGGGTGGACGCGGAGCACCCCTCCTTCAAGCTCTACACCTCGGGCAGCACGGGTAAGCCCAAGGGCGTGCTGCACACCACCGCCGGCTACATGGTGGGCGCGGCCACCACCTTCAAGTACGTGTTTGACCACCGCGCCTCCGACGTCTACTGGTGCACCGCCGACTGCGGGTGGATCACGGGGCACTCGTACGTGACCTACGGCCCGCTCTTCAATGCGGCCAGCCAGGTGGTGTTCGAGGGTGTGCCCACCTACCCCGACGCCGGGCGCTGCTGGGACATCGTGGACAAGTACAACGTCAGCCTGTTCTACACCGCGCCCACCGCCATCCGCAGCCTGATGGCCGCGGGCGACGAGTTTGTCACGCGCTCCAAGCGCTCCTCCCTCCGCGTGCTGGGCACGGTGGGCGAGCCCATCAACCCCGAGGCCTGGCGCTGGTACAACGAGGTGGTGGGCGGCGGCCGCGCGGCCATCGTGGACACCTGGTGGCAGACGGAGACGGGGGCGCACATGATCACGCCCCTCCCCGGCGCCATCCCCGCCAAGCCCGGGTCGGCCACGCTGCCCTTCTTCGGCGTGGAGCCCGCCATCCTGGACGAGTCGGGGAAGGAGGTGGAGGGCCCCGGCCAGGGCTACCTGGTGGTCAAGCGCTCCTGGCCCTCCATGCTGCGCACCATCGCGGGCGACCACGCGCGCTTCGAGCAGACCTACTTCAACGTCTACAAGGGCTACTACTTCACCGGGGACGGCGCGCGCCGCGACGAGGACGGCTACATCTGGATCCTGGGGCGCGTGGACGACGTGATCAACGTGTCGGGGCACCGCATCGGCACCGCGGAGGTGGAGTCGGCGCTGGTGGGGCACCATCTGTGCGCCGAAGCGGCGGTGGTGCCCGTGGAGCACGCCATCAAGGGCCAGGTCATCTACGCCTTTGTCACCCTCTACGGCGACGCCACCTACCCGCCCCCGGAGGAGACGCGCAAAGCCCTGATTGCGCAGGTGGGTGTGTTGGGTGGTGGTGGTCATGATCGAGGTGGTGGGGCCCTGGGCGACTCGTGCCGTCGAGGTGGGAGGGAGGCCGAGTGTCCTCCAGACACCCTGGCGCCCTGATGCGCTCCCCGCCTAGCCCCCTCGCGAGCCTCCACCCCGGCACCCAGCCACTCACGTCACCCAAACCCTCGACCCAACCCCCAGGTGCGCAAGGCCATCGGGCCCATCGCCACCCCCGACGTCATCCACTGGGCGCCGAGCCTGCCCAAGACGCGGTCCGGCAAGATCATGCGCCGCATCCTGCGCAAGATCGCGTCCCGGGAGGAGGACCAGCTGGGCGACATCTCCACCCTGGCGGACCCCAGCGTGGTGGAGACCCTCCTCAGCCTGCGCGGAAAGTAGGCGCGCATGCGACTCGACCGTGCCAGCGGGGTCGGGGAGGAGGCGCAGAGGAGGTGTGGCGGCCGCCTGCCACGGCCCGCGTCCCGGGGGCGTGCTTCCCCCTTCCTTCCCCCAAACTCCGACGGGCACCCATCTTGGGGGCCCGCGTCACAAACGACTGTCCCAGCAAGTTTTGTGCCGACGCCACAGTTTTTCCTGGCCCCTGTGCCCAAACCCGTCCCTTCTGTGAACCCCATGCCATCGCACCCTCTTGCCACGGGGGCGGGTGGGTGTCGTGTCGCTGCGCCGTCGAGTGCCCCTAGCCGTGAGCCAGCGAAGCCGGTCTCCCATCCTGGAGCCTGGTCTTGCACCGTCAGTGCTGCGTGTGGCCTTTTTGCTTGCTCTGTGAAGACCCGACACATGACAGATGGAGCAAGGCTTGAATGGTTGGGGGGGTTGCAGGGGAGAGTGTGGTGCCGCAGCATGAAGAAGGCTGCAGTGAGAGCTTGCAGTGGAGAACCCCTGGTCACCGGGGGACCAAAGGATTTTGCACCAGCACGAGCTTCAACGACTGGGGCCACAGATCGGAGATCCTCTGGTTCTCACTCATGCAGCCTGCCTGTGCTCAAGTGTATGCGGTCTGGCCACCTATGGCATCACACAACCTGCCCGTCATGCCCATGAGCTTCCAAACCTTGACCGCTGGGCTGAAGGCAGTCAGAATCCTCACCCAGCTCAGTCCTGGCAGAGTGAGGTGGCTGGGCCAGAGCGCGTGCACTTTGGCGGGATCAGGGCAGCTTCGCACATGGGCTTGGGTATGACTGCAAATCGCAGGCGAGGGGGGGGGGG